AATACTATAAATAACAACTTCAATAACAAACAAAAGGCAACCCATATTATTACATAACAAATTTAAACAAAAAAAAAAGGCATTCTGTAGTTTGAAATGACTAATTTGCAAATAATTATATCAATACCACCATTGTCGTATTGAAACGACACCTAACTACAAGAAAAGGCACCCAACTACTTAAAAATGGCACCATTTCGTTTTTATATTTCACAGCAAATTTTGATTACCCAATTGATTTTTTCCATCGTATACAACTATAAAATAACAAAGAAATCATTAATTTTCAACTATAAAGCATACCTTCAACTGTTTGAAATCGATTCTTGCTAATCCACCTCCAAAATTTACACTATTTTATTTGTTCTTGGTTCAAATAAGGAAACTTCAAAATGTAATCATTAATTGTAAGTACAAATAATGCATATGGAGAATAAGAAAACTGGATCTGAAGGTGAATTTAATATGGTGAAAATGGGCTGAAAACGTGAGAAATGAAGGGGATTTAAGGATTTATACTTGAGGATTTGGCAAATATTAATCTCCAAATTGGACATTTTAGTCATTTCAATTTAAGGGTATTTAAGGCTTTTAATATATGATCAAACATACTATAGACTACTTGAACAAAAAATATTGATTAGGATAATTTACCATATATTATGGTTAACTAGGCTTTTTAAGCAAATCCCCTAACTTTTAATTTGATTGTAGAAATTATGTTTCATGTGTACATGAAATAACTTGAACCATTAATCTTTCAAAATATTAAACTTTGAAGCCAGTGTATGCACATTAATATTTCCTATTTCTGGATGTATGTGTGTGCCTTTTATGTGCTTATATAATAAATTTTGAATTTTACTAAATTCAGCGTCTTTTTGTTTTAATTTCCTACTTGTATTATGGTAAAATATAATACAAATTATAAAATATAAAATACTCTATAAATTAATTAATTATTCATTTATCGATAAATTAATAATCTCTCTAAAACAATAATGTTTGATCCCAACATTATTTAGTAGATGTTTTACTGCACAAAATGCTCTTTATTTTAGAGAGAATGCTTGAGATCGAGCTTCAAGAAACTCTTTTTTAACTGTTTAGAATAGAGTGGGTTTGACTCTCCAAATTTAGAGAACCAAACTCGCTCTCTGTTCTTAATATACAATTATTACATTTAATAAATAACATATTTCAATACTATACTTCTTAAACTATTCCAATCATATTTAGTATTTCAAGAAACTCTATTTTGACTTATTTGAGAGCACAGAACACCCAATCTATAGGTCACATGTTATTTTTTTAATCATAATTTATCAAATTAATTAATCATAGTTTATTTCTCAGTCTCAAATCACCAATTTTATAGGCCATGGCTTATGTCACGATCGCAAATTATCAAATTAATTGATCACGAATTATTTTTCGATCACAATTTATCAAATTAATTGATCACAAGTTATTTCTCAATCACAAATTATAAAATTAATAAGCCACACTTACAAATACACAATTGTAGGTCACAATTTGTTTATCTACCATAATTCCAAATTTAATCACAGATTACACATTTTTTTGTCACATTATTTATTGATCACAAATTACTCATTTTATTGATCACAATTGCCCAATAATTGATACTCTTCATTCCATTAACTCCATCCCACCACCACTTCGATCATTAAAAAACATTGTTGTCACCATCCCACTAAAATAATTCTTCTAAGGAGGACTATAGGGAGTTTTTCTAGGAGGGAATTCTTGAAATTCGGATAATCAACTCGAAAGGCTGGTTCAGTAGAATCCACCTCAATACTTGTTAGAACTAAATGATAATCAAAAGTAAGAAAAAGAAATCGTGATTTTATAATTTCTCCCAAGAAGAAAAAGCACGAATAAGAAAGAAAACTGGTTGTAGCAACATATTGCAACATTTGTTATGATTGTATTTTTCTGTAGCATTATTGGAAGCACTCCAATGCACAAATTAACCACATGACCCAAGTGTTAATAATAATAATAATAATAATAATAATAATAATAATAATAATAATAATAATAATAATAAAATAATAATAAATAAAATAAAAAAATTCCACTTTGATCTGAATGGAAGTTTGTGCGAGCACCTAATGTTACCTTTTTGCTTTTGTGAGCAAAAAGTAAAACATCTCCTGCAACAAGTTAAAAGGAAACAACAAGAATTTTAGGAAATTATCAATCTAGAATTTGAGCCTTGGTTTTGATCCGATTGATGAAGACCCATAGTTGGAATAGTAGCAGCATTGGGTGGTGATGCCATGGGTATAGGTCCGTCCAGATGTGTACCATTGCTGACGATTGAATTCAAGATTTTTTAAATGGACGATTTACGTTTAAAAAGCTTTTCTTGTAGATCTTGGACCATAGATGACGTTTGGGGGCTAATTGAAGGTGGAATTGTGTTTGCAAGATGATTTTGACAATGGTACATAGTGGGTAGTGGTGGTGGCACGGTGGTGGTCGATGTTCTTGGAATTGTGGGGTAGATTGGCGTAGAGAGATTGTCACAGAGAATTTTTGATGATTTTGATTTATAAATATAAAAATATATATTTTATATTTTTGAAAACATAATTAGCAACTAATTTTATTCGAATAAGATTAAATCTATTTAACACCACTAGTTTTAAAACACCAATTTACGTGGCAATAATGTAGCACTAAACGAAAGGTATAATTAAATGAATTATTTAATTCTATATTTTATTGAACTTATCACTTAGAACCAAATGGTACTAGAAAATATTATCCGCTGATCTTCAATTGGATTCCTGAGCAATCCAAGCAGTTTGGACGGTGGAAAAAATTTTCAGTTCAAATATTTCATCAATTACATTTCCTTACAACTTATTTTCCACGCAGAAATATCTTCTGCACACAAAATTCACAGCGTAAACATTAGAAAAGGTGCAAAATAAGTGAAGTTGAGAGCTCAATCACCAGAGGTAGAGTCGTCGTTGATTTTACTCTGATGCTCAAGTTAGTATTAGATGAAATTGCAGTAGATAGTTGAAACGTTAGACACACACTCTTTATTTAAGGAGAATGGTTATCAGTCCCTATTTTTAGGATTCTCGAGCACCATGACATTGTTATGATGAATATTGCCGTTTGGCTTCCACTAAAATCATACATTCTTCAATAAAATAATATTAAACGTAAACCCAAAAAATTTTCTTCTTTTTTAAACATTCATTCTTAAAAGAACCAATATTTCAAAAATTATAATCTCAAATAATGGAGGCCAAACAATGAATCACTTCTGGCATTAGAAGAGTGTTAACGTTTTCAAGACACAATACCAGAAACTTACAAGCAGATGCCAAATTCGATAACTTCACCCCATAACACGTTAAGAAGTACATTTACAACGACAAGAAGAAGAATAGACAAGCTCAAGAAGAGGAATAAGTCAATTCAAGAAGACAAAAAATAGACAGGCAACCAGAATAGATCTAACAGAGTGAGAAAACAAGAATATTAGATGGATGGTCACATTGAAGAAGAATTTCAACGGATATAAAAGACCTGCAACAGTGAAGTAACGTACGGATTACCCATTTACGAGAAGAGCAACCTAGCATTGTAACAAACTCTAGTAATTAAATGCTGTTTGGTTGGTCTACAAAACATCATAGGTTGAACTGCCCTAAAAGCCATTGTTAAATAACAAATGGTCGTGAAACTTTCTGGACTTGAAATGGAGTAAAGAGTTGTGAGGGAGAACAAATACAAAGCCAACATAATAACCATGAAGTGCAAAGCACGATGACGATCAAGCTCACCAAGTTGAGGCCTTCTAGACAATTTAAGACATATCTTGACATCAAGTATCAAAAAATAACAATCAAAGATCAAACATTACATGATCTCATTGCAGAATTCACAAACTACTTGGAGAAAAGACTAAGCCCCTTACCTTCCATCAGAATCAGAAATGTACAAAAATGCAAAACAAACACTCCTGACAGAGTAGCTAAAGAGGTGAGGGCACAAGCTCCTAACATTCAAACCGGTTTCCAGCTTGCAAAACCACTTACAGAGGAGTATTAAGCTTGTAGAACCAAGACGATCATCACAAATTAACTCAACTATTCCAAAAAGCCTCAAAAAATATTCAAAATCTTTTTCATTTTTCAACACAAACAAAATAACATTCTATGCTTCTGACAAAATATCAAGCTTGTAATCAAATTGACCTTAACAAGCATGGTTCTACGAACGAGGGAGTTCCATCATATATCTAATCTAGTTTTCATTTATTTTAATGAGGGACAATAAGAGGATAAGAAATGAGAATAATTCTCTTTGCAATAATTCTCTTTGCTATTTTTTATTAGGTACATAAAAGTAGACAAGACTCTATCATAGATTTAGACAAAATTACAATTTTTTTTTCTCCTTAATTCTGTTCTCTAATTCATCTTATCAAAACATGCCAACAGAATACTAAAGCTTGTGAATATTAAGCCTTCATTTGGCAGACAAATTTATAAATGGTTTATAAAATCAGTTAAAAAATATTAATTTGAATGACACATTCATAACTATTAATTATTATCAACACATTTTATAGAACACATTACTATTCCTCTTTATAAAACATTTATAAATTTGCCAAACAAGGCTAAAACCATAACATGGAGAGGTCATGCCCCAAACCATCATGCGGAGGTAAAACACATTGCGTTAGTACAATGGACAATACAATGAAAAATATTTTAGCTTCATTTCATTTCTTAATATTGTCGAGTACCATCTAATACCTTACACAATTCGAACCAATATACTTTAGTATAGTGGGAGAGAAAAGTAACTAAATAACTAGACTAAATATTAATGGATAAACTCACATTTCCTACAGAAAAATGCATGTCATCATAAATTTCACAATTAGAATTAAGTAAAAAACTCAGGAAAAAAAAAAAAGAAAGAACAAGAAAATGAGAGAGACAATTGAAATTGAGATAAATTTTAAAACACGGAAAAATTGGTTGATGGTATTACTGCAACCTAATTCAACAACACTCAAAAGGAGAGACGTATTTGGACTTCCTCTTGAGATAATTTACCACTTGTGATAATTTACCAGAACATAATAAAAAAGCAAAACAAAAAGAAAATTGGCCCTAGAACAAAAAATACCTCTATATCTATAGAACGAAGAGCTCTATCAATTTAGTATCTATGTTCTTAATAAAAGCCTACTAATGAAGGGTGATATTGCTGCAAGCAATGCTTTGGGACATTCCTCGTGCGGAAGATGGCCACAACCAGATATTGCTACAAGTCTCTGCACCACAGTAGATATAGACGAATTAGAAGATGAATCATAAAATTTATTTTTGTTTTCAACTTTCCACAAATTTTTTTATGATTGCAGATTTTCCATTCATAAACAAAACTGCCCAGAGTTAATATCTACATATGCTACCAAAATTCTGTGAACACAAATCATAAGCAGGTTTCAGTTTCAGTTTCACTATTAGCAAACTGTAGAACACGATAATGTTATTTTGTTTGAAAGCAGTGTTCAGATTTTCAAATATCTAATAAATTCAGAGTCTCAAGCACTTGGCTAAATACACGAGAAGCCTTGATATTATTGACTAAAACTGGTGTTGAGTAACACCATATTTTTACCTTGTAAGAAAAATTTAAAAGAAAATCCAAAACATCATGTACAAACATCAAAGAGAGTAAAATGCTTGGGTGAAATAAAGACTTACAGAATTTACAAGTTTAGAAGACATAATCTGAACAGATTTTAGAGGGACAATGACATCTTCAGCCCCGGCAATAACCAAGATTGGCAATGCTTCAACAGCTTTCAGCAAGGATGCTGCATTAGGTGGTGAGATTACTGTCTCACATGAAAGTTTCCCAATTTCATGAAGTGCTTCATCCCAACCTTCTACATGTAATGGGGCCTGATATACACCAGAGCAGCAAAATATCAAAATTATTGAACAAGATATGATCTAGACAAAATTTGCCGAACGAAAACAAGGCATGGAAAACCAACAAAGAATTCGTTTTATCCAACTTAAGTTTGTCTATATCTTATGTCTAATTCTTATAATCCTTCAATTACCTTCTTTTGGGAAGTTAATATTTAATTAGCAGCTTAAACCCCAAAAAGCCTTGGAGAACTTTCAAATTTTTAACATCCAAATAGACCAGCAGAAGAATATCTCATTATGAGCAATACTTTGTATTTCATATTGATTACCATCAGCTGGTTCCATTCTGAATGAAATAAGTTCGTCCATTCTACATATGGAAAAAAGAGGAAATCCGGTGGCAAGAGAACTCATTTAACTAGTGTTTTGTTACTTGTAGCACCCTTATTAAATTGAAATAAAGAACTGAACTACAACATGATTTATGTTTTGGCAGATACATGAATTGCTTAGATGTGGTTACATGCATTGATGTCACGGGATAGTAATTTTTTTCACACAGTACACTTAATCCCCATCATTCGCTACCAGAACTATTATCATGATAACAATCACAGCAGGTAAACTAAGAAGGAATATAATTACAGCTAAAAATCAAGCCAAAACAGTGTAAAGTTGTATCACAATTAAAAAGACATTCTCATTATCCATTACCACGACGCAGAATTTGTTGAAGATTTGAAAAAGCACTAGCATAAATGCAAGTTTAAAAGCTGTTGTTTAACATGAACTACATCAAGATGGACAATTGGTTAAGATGCTGCTCATCTAATTATGTGTATGAACTGGGCCAACTCAATTATTAACTTCTTCAACCGAAGGTCGACAAAAAACAACCACTGTCTGTACAGAATAGAAAAAAAAATATGCAGAGAAACAATAAAAATACAGAGGTTAAATTTTGACTTTTCAACCAGTAGGCACCCTCAACCTATTGATTTAATTTCACAGTTTATTTCCTATAAAATTCAACATTTTAGATAATTCTTAGCAAAATAAAGTTTTGCCATCGTACAAAAATTCAAAAATACTATAAAAGCTCCTAAAATATGCATCCCCCTCGAACACTGTGTTTCTATCATAATGCCTCAGATACGGAGAAAAAATAAAACAGTTGGATGAAGCAGCTGAACAAGTTGGAAGAACATATTTCACAAAATGTAAACATGTCAAAAATTTATGCAAATGCTAAAATGTAATTGTAAGAAGAGAGAAAACGGTATTCGGGTATCAATTGTAGGCAAAAATACCTTGTAGAGGCTTAAAATTTCGGTTGTTAGTTTCGTTGCATCATACCATGCACGCCGATTAACCACTTGAGTAATTTCTGTCCGAAGTAGAGGACGGACCAGGTGTTTCTTACCAAGTGATGTGCGTAATAAAATTCTTGCAAATGCAGGAATCAGTTCTCTTGACAAGCTCACACTCAGCAATACAATCCCCTTTATTTCAATCTGGATGACATGCCATTAGGACATTTATAGAAATCAGCAACAAACTTCCAAATTCCAAAACAGATTTGGACCCAAACACATGCATAGATATCATCACCAACAAAATTATTCTACATCAACTGTAGTAGTTCAACTAAATTTTAAGAAACACGTAAATGAACTTGCACTAACTATAATTCCCCTACATACATCTCAAGGAGGTGCATAAGCAAAATTATGTGCATAAGCAAAATTATCGCTGATTATCATAATGCTAATATTTAAAGCTCAATATTTAAGGGCACATCAGATTTTAGACTCCCTCTCTCTCTCTCTCCCTCTCTCTCTCTCTCTCTCTCTCTCTCTCGGTGCAACCTAGCTTATTCAAATTTAAGTGCATCTCTATTCTCTAGCGATTGGTTCTTCACTTTACCAAGGTCTTTCGAGCTGCCATTTATGTTCTCGTTAACAATTTATAGTTCAAAACACTTCCAAGCAGGATCACTAAACAATTTGTTTAATAAATTATTTTATCCTTCATTAAAAGGGAAAAAAAAAGATATCACACAATTCTATTGCATAAGAGCATAAGGAATATCAATTCTCTTTCATCACAAATAATTTATATTCGAGTAAATCTTGATTGTTGGAGTTAAAATTTCAGTAAGTACAGTGTCCACGTTCATCTTTAGCATGCAAGGGTTTTTATTTTAAGTAAATAGCCTACACTAAACGTTGCTCACATTCTGAGAATTTGCTGATGATTGGACTTTCTGCGCAGCCTTAAGTGCAAGCAGTCCTCCATCATCATGGCCAATTAGTACAACAGAAGAAAATCCCATCTCCAAACAAAAAGAAAGAAGCAGATCTACCTGAGAATAACAAACCCAATCACATGTTCAGGTGAAGCCCAAAACAGAAGATTAAAAACAAATGGAGATGGCATTGGAAAGCGAAACACATGCATTATTTTACTGCAGGCACAGATACACATATGCAAGTCCCTTGGATATTGCAGTGACCTAGTCTGTTGAGTCAGACCCGTCTATAATGACAAAATGATCTAATTATGTGCGCGCAAAATAATGACATGGATGAAGATACAGTTACTAAGGATAATTTTAAGCAAATTAAGTTTGGGTTGTCCATAGAATTTTACTTTCTTTACAAGCTATGGCTTACTTTCAAGAAAATTAAGTTTGTCATTAAAAAACTTTGAAAATCATGTTTGGTGATTACTTAAAAGTAAGTTTGACGATCTGACTTGCTTTTTAGTACTGCTATCAATGCTCATACAATTACAAGAATTGCCGAAAGAGCTTTCTTAATTTAGATCACAAGTCAATGTTTTACTTGAAGAGTTAGCTTGCAAACTGATAGAGAAGCGCTGTCATGGGGGAATTACAACTACAACCAATCACAGAGTTCAACATCACAGTAAAGCCACAGAGACGAACATGATAAAGTCTCATTCCTTGCAATTACATTTTTTATTTACATAAGTTATGAACATTTACTTTATATAAAAGAGTGTGTGTGTGTGTGAATCTGAGTACGATTATTCCCAGCTTTATTCCATTACCTGTGCCAGAGCTTCATAATCTACTCCAAATCTCTATATCTAATGCATCAAAATTGATATAATTACACCCAAATCGTGTATGAAGCCATGCAAATTTGAACTTAGTATGTCTTCAAGTTGACATTATCAACATACATTTGGAGAAAGTAATCACCTGATTATCAAGCTTGTAAGGATTAGGCAATTGATTTTCTTCCCAATCCCTACGGCGTGGCCTAGACGTCAAACCCCAACCAGGCCTGTCAAAAGCAACAACCGCACAACCAACCTGCTTAGCTAAAATGCTCATCAAATTTCTCCAGGAAAAGACTCCCCCTCCAAAACCATGCACTAAAACAATCCCAAAGTGTCCATTTGCCTCTAGATCCTGTTCCAACATTGAAGATCTCATATTGCTGATTTCATCCCCCTTGCCAGTTTCATCAAGGCTCAAAATTGGCATGTCTTTAGACAATGGGGACGTTGGAGAACCATCTAACAGAGGAGTGTATAGAGAGGAGGTGCTAACATGAAATTGACTACTGATGCTCCTGTGGATAGTGTATCGAGTTTTTAATGAAATGTTTGTTGCAGGCCCATCCAGAAAGGGGGAGGAGGATAAGGAACAGGAAGTCAACCCAGGGATGCTTAGCTTGTAGTGAACCATTACTCCTTCACAAGAAATGAATAAACTGTCCTTATCAGCAAGTAAACTAACTGGAAGTTCTCCATCATCACGAGCAAAACCTAACCCTTTTCTCCTCATTTCACTGTTACTTCTGAAAGTCTTCCCTGCAGATGGAGTAGGCGATCGTGGAACCTTATGGTAACCAGAGAAGACCATCTTGCAAGAAAGAGCCTGCAGGTAAAAGCCAAGACCTAAAATTATATGAAATCTCATCGTCCAAGCTTATAAAAACCTTCATCCTAAAATAAAGTTCTGGAAACAAAAGGAAATTGCAATCAGATCTTTGAAGTAAACTAATTGACCAATCTAAAGCTACATTGAACCAAACATCAGTGAATCAGTGTTTAACCACTAAAAGCACAGTAATGTGCAGATACTAGCATATCCACCTCATTTAAACTGTATGATAATTTTAAAGAACTGAAGTCGACTTTTATTGTAATTCTAACTGGCATTTCATTATACTACAGTCCAAAGGACCTAATAAATTGTGTAAGATAAAAGTATCTAAAATTGCAGGTAAATGCATAAAAATTGATAAACTAAAGGGTTGAGAAATATAGTGAAATTACAGCTTCTGGGTCAACACGGTGAAACAAGAGCTTCCTCCTAGCTCTGCAGCTTGTACGATAGGCTACAACAATGTGCCCAAGAGCAAAGACAACAGATGAGAGAAACAAGACTGGCATCCCCCAAGACTTCTTCAAATGAAGTCTCTGTCTTTGCCTCGAAAGAAAAGTTGAAGCTTCTGCCTCAAGTTGAGAATTCACAGCAAACAGACAAGCTTTGACAGAAAGAAGAAGTATTGAGAAGATAGAGCAGAATGTTACAGTTCCAAGATATGGCCCCTGTGAGAGCATTATGCTATCACACATTGAATATACACCTGTTGTCATTCAAACAAACACATACAAACGAAATCAATTTTCGATTACACAAGAAATTCATCTTGCTAAACTTCATGTCCTATTTGCTTCATGTTTGAAGTCATATCATCTAGAATTCAATTTTATTCTTTTTCACTTTACATATCAAACCTCCATGGGATTTTCCTTCACTTTCTTCATTTTGTTTCACAAAGATATTTCATTTTTTTTATTTTTTTATTTTTTATTTTTTATTTTTTATTTTTTTTTTTGAGTTTCAACTTTACTGATTAAGGGAAAGAATAAAGTAATAAAACTAATAAAAATTAAGATAGGGTAAGTAGAAAAATGAATTTATAAAAACTGAATCTCCAACTAAGAAAGTAATCTCTTCACTTGAAAGAAATCAAAATTTAGGAATCCGCAATTGCACTCTTTTCGTCACCTTTCCTCGCACAAACATAGACCTACATAAATGTACATTTGAGGTTCCACAGTAATTTATTTTAGAGTTTAATCGTTTTCAGGATTTTCGGAAAAGGAAAAGGAAAAAATGGGAAGCAAAATAGAAAAGCAAAAGCATATTAAGAGATGGCAAAAAAAAAAAAAAAAAATTATATATATATATATATATATAGTTACAAAAACGAGACCGCTTCTTTGACATTTATGGGATATCCTTCACTAATCCAATATGAATGAACAAATTTTAGCAAAAGGAGACCATGAAATATACAAAAAAATAAAAATAAAAAATCATACAGGTGATAATAAGAGATCTGATTATGGAGACAAGAGGAATATCCATAAGCGAGCTCTTGAAAGCGTATCTCTGCAAATGCTGTCTAAAACTGTAGCAATTAAAGCATGTGAAGCTTGGAATTAGCAAGCACGGCACCACCACATCGCTGATCGCCACCACTAACGGCAAAGACACAAGCAACAGCGACGCCAACATCGTCACCATGAAATACACCGTCCGCACCACCCTCAATACCTTCTCCCACCACCAAGCGCCTTTTGCCATCATAATCCCCCAACAATTTGCTCAAATTTCCCAAAATTATTTCAAAACACTAATAAGTTCAAATGTTCCTCGGATTTGAATATTTCAAGTGGGGCCAGGAGAAATACAAGATCGCGGAAAAATCAAAACTCGAAATGGAAATGAAGCCGCAGGAGACGGCGTGAAAACGGCCATCTCCCGGCGTAGATTTACGGCACCGGCGATTTTTACCAAACGACGTCGTCAATCTCGATTTTATCTTTATCAATTTCTCTTCATCAATTTCAACGTTTTCCAAAATTCAAAAACAACGAAGCAATATCATTTGTTCTTCATCGGATATTCACTTTCATCCCTCTTTCTCTCTCTTCTGGTGATTTTCTTCGTGTGTATGAATGTGAATGTAAGAGAGAGAAACAGAGTGTCAGTGCGTGTTTTGAAACTGAGCCTGGTTTTCGTCAAATTATACATTAATATATTTAGAAATGAGTTAATTTCATTTATAGGTACCCAAGTTCAAGCAGATGTTTATATTGGTCACTCAAAGTGTTTTTTTTTTTTTTAACCTTATTTAATTACTAGAGTTAAATAATGTGACATATGGACCATTAAAATTCTTTTGAAAAGTCAAAACTCCTTTTAAGATTAAGTGCCTATCTGGGATTGATTTTGGAAAAAAAATTTAAGTGAACTTCCAGTTGTTACCCCCGTATTGTGTCAATTTGAAAGAGCCTCAATATTTGACTCGGTTAGGTGTAATGACAAATACATCCCTTAACACTCATTTCATCCTTCATTAAAAATGGTAGATTGGTAAAATGGTAAAAATGAGTGAATGATTACTGCAAAAAAAAAAAAAAAAAGATCCACCTGCAAAATGCAACGGTCAAATTTTCACTTAAAATCGCGGCAAAATCAATCCCAGACAGACACTAAGAAACTACATTTATCATACATGTATAATTTTTGAAAATACTTTATTTTACTAGAATAGCTTTTAAATGAAGCATCTTCTATACAAATTGACTCGTAATTGATAATTATATTGGCTTGATTACGTCATATGACACATTAGTAGTTACACCTATCCATTAACAATCATTTCTTCTGGCTAGCCTCAAGTTTTAGCTCTTTTAATTATGGAAAATAAGGTTTAAGTGATTTATGATTTTTTTTTTTTTTTGGTCGAACGTGTTATAATCACATCTTATTTTCATATATTTAGAGTTTGTTGGAGTTCCCTTTTTTCAAAAGAAATAAAATATATATTTCGTAACAGCATGTTTAAAAAAAAATTTGTGGTTAAAAAGTTGAAATTTTTTTAATTTACACGTGAAATTATTTTATTGGGAGAATGTGTGATCACTAAAAACGTAATCAGTTATGTAATAATATTTTTTCAGTGACTAAATAAATCACAAAAATATTTTGATGACCAATTTAAAATTCTACTGAATTTCAGTGATCATTTATGAAATTAACACAGAGATACAACTTGGAAATGAAAAGGCGTGATTAATTAGAGTAATTAATTAATATGACAACACTTGATTCGCTAATCCTGACCGTTTGCATGCCTGGCAGCTTTTTGTTGGACTCTTCTGTCCCCATCCTTCGTTCTGGTTTAGGCGTGCTGCTTTTTACATGACAAAACTGCCCTTCTGTTTTCTATATATTTCGTTAGAGAAACTTGGAAGGTGTGGACTAACAGCATGATGTGTGCCAAAAATAATTTTTTTCCCATAGATTGGGATTTCACAAATATGTGAACTAAAATTCATATATATATAGTATTATGTATTTTAAATTTTTTCTAAAAAGAACATGTCAGTCAGTTAATTGCAATGTCCAACTATCATTTGTTAGATTCATGTTGTGCTATTTCAAATTTTATATACATACATACATACATATGTGTGTGTTCAGGGATGGATCCAGACAATTTGGGTTGGGGGTTACAATAAAACAAACAGTGGGTAGCCCGTAAGTAGTAATGACAGTCCGAAGTCGTCAAATTGAAGAAAGAGATAAAAGCACAAAGTTGAGTTTGGAGTTGTCTATTGCATAATATATTTATAATATAGGTTTTAAACTTCGACATTCAAAAAAAATGTAGCAAATAGAAATGTCAGAAAACTAGGGGGTCAATTGACACTATAGGACCCCCCAGGTCCGTCCCTGTGTGCGCGCCGCACGCATGAATATTATTTGAAAACTTATTTTGTTTTCAAATTTGGATGATGATTGTCATTTTGTGAGATGAAATATATCATTTCTTAAACTAGTCAGAGTTCAATGTGCATTGTACATTATTTTGGATTGCTTTACAAGTACTATAGCAAGGAGAATAATTCTTTTTACAATTTTATCATTTCTTGTTTCGCTACATTTATAATGCCACAATTCTCTGGTATAGTTTCGATCAAATGCATGATTGTCGTGTCATGTACAAGTCAAGTCTAGAAGTTTCGAGTTTTATATATTTGTATACTACATATTGTTGTAGCACTAGTCTAGTCCAAAGAATAATTGCATTACTTGTCGATCGAATTTGGAGCTTATGCATGATCGTACCGTGTATGCATCACTCAGTTTTATATTTTTCTTAATCAAATTTTGAGATTTTTATGTTTGTTTGTATACACACAAAATAAAAATAGATTAACTTAAAAAATTTTGAATTACATACATTAGTATGAACTCAAATAAATTGAGAATTAAAGAAATTGAATTCCTCTTAAATACATTAACATGAACCTTATTGATATGAAATGAAGTTCCACTTGATATTAATAAAGTACAACGATTTTTAGAATGTACTACATGAATCTAAATTAATTGAGAATTAATAAAATTATGTTCCGCTTAATGTAAATAAGGTTTAAAGAATTTGAAAATGTACTTTCATGGTAATAAATACGAAAATTGACAAAATCATTCATGATAATAATTTATGTCAATAGGAATTTTGTTTGATATTAAGAATTAATATAGGATTATTGGGTCCAGCAAATATAGAATTTTTGAAAGTACTGCCATTTTTTGACATAAGATTACAAGTTGTCTGCTTCAAATTGGTATAAAATATCAAAAGTTCAATTTGACTTCAATATGACAAAAAATAATTAATTGAATAACAAAAATAAGCTGTTTCAGTCAATATAAAAACATCAACTACATTCTCAAATATGAAATAAGTAAATGATGTTCATGTTGGAAGTTATGTTGGTGGAATGATACCAGGTTTTCTCATACCGGTTTATAATATTAGTTAATTACACAATAAACTAAATTATCATAAACCACAATATATTAATCTAATTTAGAACTAAATTATATTAAGTTATGTAAAACACGTTAATTTAATAAATCCAAACGGGAAAGCTGAAAATTAACAGAAATTTCAGAGAACAAAAAAAATTAACGACATGCTTATAATTTCATATAAATTTTTAACCCGAGGTCTGTGTAAATACAGTGTCCTTAAAACAGATTCACCCTTTCACCGTACGTGCTTGAGTTTTAATCCGAACGTCTGTTTTCCATGATACAACAGTATATAGTAGAATCTGAGCATCGCAGATACTACTCTGATGAACTGATCTAGTATCCGAACAATATCACCATAAGAACAAGACCTTACTGGACAAGGAATACAGAAAAGAAGAAACTGTGTATGCAGAAATGTAGGTGAGATTTTCGAGTGTGTTAGATTGCTGGAGAATGAGCCTTTTTATAGGCATACTGCCCATTAACATTGTGACCATTGAGAGTTCATTGGAGTTACTGCCCATTAATACTGTAACCATTGGGAATCCATTGGAGTTTTTACAGTTTCACAAACTCAAAAGTTATTGGAGAAAGCAAAAAAAATTACAAATTTTGCCTTGTTCGGTTCAACATTCGTGTGCGTGCCCAAGTTCAAGGTCCGAAGGCTATTTTAGTCCGAGATTTGCACCACCCCTGTGCGCGCACGTGGAGAGAGCCTCTATACTACACATGATTACACTATTCCAAAGTGTAGGCATATATAAAGTGGTTCATGCTTTCTTCATTTTCCTATGTGGGACAAATGTCACTTTTCCCACATAAATCATCTTCCAATGGCCAACTTTGAACTCCAATTTTTCAGTCATCCGTTAATCAATTTTGGCAAGTAAATATATGGTTTCGATAATCTCACGGAAGAGAACACAGATCAACTTTGATCTTCCAAATCCGACCAACGGGTCCCACTCAAACTTATGCCAGAAGTGACCATTTACTCATTTTCCAACAGTTTATACTATAAGATTGGACATGATAAATTGGTAAATATATTCACATCACGGTTTCTATTATCAAAATCACATTTTAATCGTAATAAAGATATCTAATGTTTTCCTCTTTTATTTTATGTATTCTCTGAACTTTTTCATCTCATTCTTGTCCTTACACTTCAATTAATTAACTCGTATATGATAATTATTGTTCAAATATTATGCTAAGTGCTCTGACATAAAGGGCAAATAAATCGTCAATTTTTCTCTTGGTTTTTAAATTTGCTTATTTAAAGATCCGATAGGCAAATAAATCTTTTTACACCGTCGTACAACTAATAGAAGATTAAGAATAAGAATGTGATGGGAGATATTTGAAGATATAAGTGAAAAAGATAAGTAAAGATAGACATTATTTGCAAATAAAATATGAAGAAATTAACAAAAATTGTAATGTGAATATGATAAGCGTATAACAATGACATATAAAAAATACTTCACTCCAAAAACTAGAAAACTTAATCACCACATGGCCATTACATATGATTCTAGGCTCCTCGTATTTTAATACAAGATTTCCGGCTTAACGAAAATAATTTTTGTGATTGGTTCGCAATATTTTTTTAGAAAAAAGTTAAATCGGTCATATTTTCATACAATTGTCTAAGTGTTATGTTCGATAGATTATATTAAAGAAATCAATTGCTACCCGCATTCCAATTGAGAATGCAATTCAAATTGTTGCTTGGAATCCAACTCCCAATGGATTGTACATATTCTAATAGTGCACAAAATAGTCCTAAGTGAAAGATTTGTCTGAAAAAGTCAATGATCGTTACAAAAAAGTCATGTTTGTCAACATTTTGTTTCAAAATATTCGGTAATATATATATTTTTTTTGTTTATGAACACACGAATTTCAACATGTACATTATATTACGAATATAATGGTAGTTGAGAGAGAATCAAAATTAATCAACATTCTCGAGATTTTAAACTGATGCACCAATCCACTACTAAATTTTTGAGTTTGTCAAATTATCATTTCATTAATTTTTTCTATTGCACCAAACCCTAAGCATACATTCAACTAACAATATTAAATATCCTGAATAGTATCTATTATTTCTAAAATTATTTTTATAGATTATTACTGTGTTTTCTGTACTAGCT